CGTTGCTGATCGAGCTCTGCCAGGGGCCCAACCTACAGAACCAGGCTGGGGCTTCAGGGCCACTTGTTCGCGGGGAAGTAGGAATTGAGAATGAGAGTGCGGCTGTTCCACTTGCAGCATTTTGTGAGGGGGGGGTGGGTAGTTTTGGGGGCATGAGTAGGTTTACAGACGTAGGCGGGCTCCCACCACAGGTTCGGGAGGCCCGAGTCTGCAGGCTTGCAAGCAATCTATACCAAAGGTCCTATGTGCATTAGGTCCACCTCGACATGCTCTTGCAGCTGCGTTTGTTTTAAGCCAGGGCTGCCTTCGCCAGGGATTCCTAAAGAAATCCTTGTCTTTGCCTTCGAATATGCTAAAAATTGCTTCATCAGCATCACACTTCCCGTGTTACAAGTGGACTATGGCTTTGTTCATTCCTGTCCCTCCACACGCTCGAGCTTCGTGTCTTGCTGCGCTGCGCCCACAAGATTGCCAGGAGTTCGTGAGTACACTGGGGCTGGTGGAAGCAAGCTCACGCAACGTTGCTGCAGTTTGATTGCTGGCGTTCAAGCCAGCTACAATTCCAAACTTGTGTTTTTTGTTTTCTGGTCGGTCTTCGCGATTGGGACTGGAAGTTGGACACGAAGCCTTTCCCTGTGTTTGACATGGGGACCTCCCCTGGAAACAGTGAGGTGATTTCATCGTTTCGCTCATAGCAGATAGGATCGTATGCGGGTCTTTTGAGGGTGAGTGTTTTGCTCAGGTTCGCCAATCTGAAGCTAAACAACCATTAAAACCCAAATGCAGAGTTGATTTTTTTGCAGTATACCGCCCGCTAGAAGGACCTTGACATGCGCGCGCCTGTCACATACATGCCTTTTTCCTTGTCTTGTTCTTCTTGTAGCCAGCTCCTTTAGCCACCTGCAGAGGTCATCCTCTATTGTGTAGGCGGTGAGTCCAGAAACAGGGAGCCTCGCGCTCACTTGTGCTGATTTTCTTTCAAGATAAAGCTCGCCTCCTCTTACCAAGTTTCATGGTAAGCGGTTCCATTCGGATCAGTTAGCACAAGCCCCCTCCTCCACTTACACCGACCTGCCTTGCACTCTTCACTTGCGAAGTATTTGCATGGGACACTTTTCTGTCCCGAACGGAAACGATTTCAAGCATATATACTCCCTTCTGGCCATTTTCCTCTACAGGAAGACCATAACCTGCAACCACCTCACAAAGCGCACAAGTCGCCTGAAACCAGGGCTTCTGCAACCCAGCTTCGAGCTCATCTGCCGCTTAGAAGGCTTCCTCAATCCGGGCTGCCAATATGGTACCTTTAAAGTGGGACATAGGGATTATATAGTATATAGGGATTATATAGGGGTATCTAGAATATATAGGGTTTAGGGTTCCAAAATTGGGGATATCCTTTAGAGGGGTCCCTATAATAAGGATCATCATATTTGTGGGTCTAGATTGGGGTCCCCTTTATTTGGGGAAACTACCGTATGGGGCGCTGGGAGTTTCCTTTTATTGCCTCTTGTGTCCGGGGAAAGTTTGTTAGGGAGATTCGACTTATGAGCAGGCAATGAATTAGGAGTTCTAGGTGGGACTAGAGGGGCTCTAGCTTGTTGTACGCAGTAACAGGAGGATCCTATGTTTCAGTAGGGAGGTAGTTGCTTGAGTTCTGTGTATTGGGGTGCTAGCTGGTGCAGCGCTCGCTTTTTGCAGTTCTCTGGGACATTAATGATGGAAACGCAGACATGGATCTCCAGCAAGAACATGTGTTTGCGGTATGACAAAAAGAAGACTTCACATTATGCCCTCAAATCGGCAGGGGCATGACAAACATAGAGGAGAGTTGCACGGCTCGTCATCGCTCCGCACCGGTCAGAACGAAAGCATATCGTTAATCCTTGCTACCTCTCAAAGTGCCATCTTTTGAGGAAGAGCGTGGCCCCCTTCTCTGCTGGAATTTAGGAAATCACTCAATGCTCGGAACCCACCCCCCACACCTCCCCCCAAACCCTGGATTAAAGCTACCAGAATCCTAAGCGTCCTAGACTGAAAGCCTCAGATTGCAAAAGCCAACCGCCAATGCAAACCAAAACGTTGCGGATCCAATTAGGCTAAAGTAGTAGGCATTGTTTTGGGGGCTTCAGGGCTACTTTAAGGCTAAAAGTAGGTGGCATGTACAGATTACTTTCGGGAACTCCCCGCCCCCCTATGTAAAACTCCGTGGAAAGTCCCACAGGGTGAATCCACCAACCCTTGCCAGGTGACATCTACCCGCCCACAGTCCGGAGGTTGCCTCTTGGTCGTCACAAGCATTCGTGTAGAAGTAATACCTGCTTGGGGCCCTAAAGTCTGCAAATTATACTATAGTAGTTTCCATTTTCTTTTCCATTATCGCTAGATAACCCATTATTCTATAGTAGTTTCCATTTTGTTTTCCATTTTCCCCATATTTCTATAAAGCTTGGGCTTTTGGGATCCCAAGCCAAGGAAGGACTGAATCTGAGTAGTTAGGGGTATATAGGGTATATAGGGATATTACCCCAATAATGGAGAATCAAATGGAAAAGAAAATGGAAAATCAAATGGAAACTGGGATTATATATTAAGTAGCTGGAATTTAGTGTTTGGAGCTTCGTCATCAGGGTTTTGAGTTTGCAGTCTCGGGTGTGCAGGGTGCTGAATTGGAGGCTTTGCCTTTCCCATGGTTATCTCAGTGAATAAGGGGCTTAGGGTTAGGGTTCGAGGCTGAATTGGAGGCTTTGCCTTTCCCATTGTTATGTCGTTGAATAAGGGGCTTAAGGTTTTAGGGTTTAGGGGCTACATTGGGTGGCATGGTCAAAGAAGCAGAATGGGGGGCTTGCCTTCGTCATCTCAATGGGCTTTAGCATAGTACTGATATGAGGATGTGACGGTTCCTCCTGTGTAGCAGGCCACAAGGTCTCCTACCCACGCTGAAGACCTGTAGACGTTTGTCTTCCGCTGTAGCAGCCACGCAGCACAGGTAGACCACGCTTTTGAGAAACCCACCTACCATCCCTTGAGTGTTCTCAGAAAAAGGCTTCATAAAATGCTCAACAGCCCAGAGAAGCCGAGGAAAGCCCTGCTGCTTGACGCAATGCTGGCACTGGTAGAGGGACGCCTGGATAGCCGGATCCATGCTGCTCGGGCTACGGCTGGAACGTTGAAGGTCTGAAGTAATCTTCATAGATACATGAATGGCATGGCATTGCTGCATGTAGCAAAAAGGCTGCATCCTTATGGACATTTAGTATACTCTACACACTTTAATTCATCTTAATGTGTCTATGGGGCACCAAGTCGACTTCGATTTCGCGGATCAGAGCATCTCAAGCCTAGTCCAAACAATGGTTTCTAAAACTTAGGGGCTCCATTTCGGGGGACGGTCATCTGAAGATTGCCAGGTGAACCCTGAAAGTCATGGACCTTCTTCTTGAGATGCATGTCAGTCATTTGCATCAGCTAACTCTGGGGCAAACATGTTTCCGAAGCTACGGAGGAATTCTGATACCACCAACGCTCCAAGTCCAACACACAGCCGCTTCACTTCGGCACTCTAGTTGCTCTAGTTTGATGATTACAGGTTGTATTACAGCCTTGGCAATCCATTGTAGTAGGGAATCTGTAATCATACCGGGGATATTTAGGGATAATGGAAAAGAAAATGGAAACTGCTATAGTATTATATGGGATATATAGGGGATGTATAGGGATAATGGAAAAGGAAATGGAAACTACTATAGCACTATGGAATCATTCCTCTAGTTCTCCTTGCTGAGGTGACCATCCCACAACGTTTGGATCCGACGGTGCTCAAGGCTTGGGCGCAGTATTTGCAACAGGGGCCTCCAGTTGCCATGGAATGCTGCCCTGTCTTCAATTTGGGGGTTGCCCAACAGTAGGGTAGCTAGGGGTACCATTTTGGGGTCCCCGCAATAAGGACTATAGCATTTATTGGGGTCCCCTATTTTGGGAAACTACCATGTGGGAGGATGTCTCAAGTTCAGGCCCCCTCTCGAAATATTCAATGACTGGCTCTGTCGGCTTGGAAGCGTGCTAGGAGGCCTTGCAGCCTCAGGATCAAGATAACGGTTCGCACCTACGATACATAGCACAAAGCTCAGCCGATCTTGGCATGTGTATATGTATATGAGCCACTGTCTAAACTCGTAGTATTCCCCATTCATACCCCCTATAGCATTCTTCTATATAATCCCCTTCATAACCCCCCTCTAAGGAGTTTAGACTACGGCTCTTATGTATATGTGCGCTATAGGCAGGCCAGGAGTGAAGGTGCTCAAGAATTAGAAGTATCAGAGATTCCAGCAGTAGTTGCAGCTGTTCTGTCATGTGCTTGAGCACACAGGAGCGGATCGAATTTGTCCACAGCTACTTTGTGTTTGGGATGGTGGGCGCTTTGGAAGCATTTGGCCACGAACCGGAGCTTTCAAACTTTGGCTTTGACCATCAGCCAGGACTTCACTCGGGGTTGAAGGAATGAATTACACTCTGATGGCATTTTTTGCAAGTTTGTTTTGTCGTTGTGTTATGGACTTGTGGCATTCTGTTGGATGGAACTTGAGAGCTGCAGGTTGAAATCCAGATTTCCACCGTCCTGCCAGATATAGTGATCATTGGGCTGCTTTTAGGCTTGCATACAGAGGTGCGGCTCCTAAAATGTTCTGCTAAGTCACTCCGAGCGTTTTGAGAACTTACACTGGAGGCTTGCTCCCGGGTGTCGTAGTCTGGGGCGCTCGAGACCTTCCCCAAAGCCAAACCTCAGCACTTGCCATACCCCAAGGTTGAGAGGCACTCCTGCATTCCAGGAAAGTGTCAAACTGTGGCTGCGCAACAAAGCTGTGAGTGCTCGAACTCTTGAGCCAGCAAACCTGGACCCTGAAACACTTAGACGGCGAAGCCGCGGACCCGCAGACCCAAAAGCCTGAAGCCACTTAAAGCTCCACTGGCTCACCATCTAAAACAAGAGAGCTCAGGCGTGGCAATGCGTACAGTGCAGAGCGAGATGGTTGCCGCCATTCCGTTGGAGGCGCTTGCCTTTCGAGTACTCAAGTGCATTCTCCTTTGGTATAGAGCCAATTTCTTTAATCTCGAGGAGTTTACGTTGCGAGTAGTCTGGGAGCTATTGCTGTGAGCCCCGGAGAGTCGGTAGAGAGGCAGACGGATACCAGGATACCCGCAGTGCAAACATGGTACTGGTACGTGATGAGACTTGAGTGACCGAGAGTCGAGGAACCGCACTGGTAACCATAACTATCTGAGGGCATAGTAGGGGTATTGAGCGGCTGGTGAAGATGGCGTTTCTACTGCATGCAGCCTCTTCCCAAAACACTTACCACCACCACCACCACCGCCGCCGCCGCCGCCGCCGCTACTTTCCATTACCAGTACTACCACCACCGCCCACGCTGACGCCGCTCCGCCGCCGCTGCTGCTGCGACATACTGCTACAATCGTTTTCTCTGCTATTTGAAATGTTGTTGGTTGAGTGTCTACGAGCTATGAGTAGATCCAGTAATGCTTTCAGACAGCCACATCTTAGTTTATGCCCTTGACATTGGTTGTGATTCTTGTGCAGATCTGATTAGTTTTCCTGGCTGTGCGGAAACCTCCACAGGACTTCAAAACAATTTTTGCCTAGGATTGCGCTCTTGAAGCACAAGTTGGCGGCTTTGAACCTCCACTCCACTACAAGGGGCACGGGGCTGCCTATGAGTTGTAAGCGAAAGTGTGATGAAGGCTCTCTAGCGAACCAGGATCCTAGGACTACTCCCCGTGAACTGCCTTCCGTGATCCCACAGACTTTGAGTAAGCTGGTCAGGCCAACATGCGCGCGCTCTTGACGCCCTCCGCAGACCCCACAGAGGTTCCTCGGCTTAACAAGAGATTAGATTTCTGGGGCTCTGATCTTAGTTTGACAAGATAGATATATGTGTACATATGTATGTAAACTTGCGGGCTTCGCAGGCGAAAAGGGACCTGAGGTTCAGGCTGCTGGTCGCTGTTTACATTCTTTCCAGATCTTCGCGTCATGGGCTAGCCCACCCACAAAGTGCTTGTCATGGAAACCAAGCCATCCAACAGCACCGTCTCCCCAAAGCTGTGCACGAGCCTCTCAACTAGCTTCAGTCCCCTTACCTTACCTCCTATACACCCTCAACCTCAAGACCTCAATAGAAGCCAGGTCTACAATGCTCTGTTGGATGCCAGCGTTCTGGCAGAGGTTTGCGGTTGCAGGGGTGGAGGGATGCGGGCGTTTCAGGGTTCACGCTTGATTGGGGCTTAGGGAGTTTTGAGTTGGGAAAGGGCTGCGCGGGCTAGCTTAGGGCAGGAGCAAGGGGCTTGCTTGCGGTTGATTGGATATGCGTGAGGAGGGTGTGGTGTGGGGTCCTCAGGTTATCTGCATTTCGGGACGAGGGTCATGGATTGGGGGTTGCCGGGTTCTCAGCATTAGGGGTCCTGGTCGGCAGTTGTTACAAACATGGACCCTAGCATCCCGAGTCGGAGAAACAAGGCCTTGACCTTAGCGGATGATCCAGTTTGATAGCTTTTCTTCCTAGAGGGTCCAGTATGCAATAATGATATACCTTGGAGTTATAATTGGAATGATTACTTAGGCCTCTTGGGGGTATATGATGTCTGTTTACTTTGGACCCCTAGGTTTCTGTAAGTATAATTGTTCATCCTGCTAGCCATATAGTAACCCCAGTTACGGTCATTGCCAACCTACTTTGAATGTCCTCTTGACCATCCCCTAAACCCTGTGGCAAGAGTAAAGCACTTTACATTTGATCCCTCTTCTAGCGCGGTATTCCGCACAGGCTCATGGTATTATAGTGCACTAAATGGACTCCCAAGACCCTCGGGCCGCTAAGGGTACAACCCAAATTCCCTTGAACCGAGCCAAAAATAACTTGAAAGGCAAGCTTAGTGGCAGGTGCCCTGTAGCTGTCTTGGAGCTGCTTTTCAACTTTTGCTGTACTAGACACACCAATGATGCCTCTAATTATACCCAGGACAGATTCTGTGGACAGGCGATAGCTATAAAACCCAGCTCATGAAAGCTCTCAAACCTCACCCGAAACGATGACAAGGATTATCACCGGTCACAACGAGAGAGAAACCATATTGCTATAGAGAATTCTTGAGAGAAAAGTGATTTCTGAATTCGCAGCAAGGGGAGTCGAGTCACACGCTGCCAATGCCATTTCTTGCCCAGCGCCGTCTGCAGCGCCTGGCAGGAGTTGCTGGAAGATTTGTCCGATGCGGACATCCGAAACTTCTTTAGCAGCTGGGCGGGGATTGGCGGGCAGGTAAGATTATTATAGTCTACACTCCTAGCATGCCCATTAATATCCCCTACAGTAGTTTCCCATAGAATCCCCTATATACCCCCCTTTAGGGATTGATGGACTGCACAAAAAGTAGAGGCTAAAGGAGCTGCAGGACAGGTTATTCGGAGGCTCATGGGCAGTTGCAGGTGGGGTTCGAAGCAGGAAAACTAGATTGCGTTTTAGTAAGGGCTTTTGTGGCCCCAAGCAAAATTACCAATTGGGCTTGAAGTAACTGGTTTGTGAGTCTTGGTTGGTTTTCAGGTAGGCCGCTGCCATGACCCGTCCCACATCGCAGTTTAGGGTTTAGGGCTGGACTTGGCTGAAGGATGCTTGAAGGCTTCTGTGTATTTGGAGTTGGGGGTGGGAAACAGGTTAGGTAAGTTGATGACCACTTATAAGCCAAGCTGAGGCATGACTCTCCAAGTAGCCCTCTTAGTATCCAAGCCAAAGTCCAAGCCGTTACAGCAAATCTGAAGACATTCCTAAACTCCACACCAGAAGAAGTAGACCTTATGGCCCCGCACCCTCTAGTATAAATGGCTGAGACTCAAGCACTTCACTTCTCAAAATTGGCTCTTGAAGTCCTCATTGGGCATCCACTTGAGAACCCTAGCGGCCCACCCTCTCCGGAACCGCCTAAATCATCCCTTCAATTCGTATGACTATTTTTCAAGCCGCAAGTGCTTCTTCACCCTATCCCTAGAAGATGCCCCCATTTTCAGACACCCCGTCCCCGCGTTCCTCACTGGTGGTTAGTAGGGAATAAGGGAATATAGTCAGTATATAATCCCCATACAATATGTTCCCTTATTCCCTACGAACCCTGGGCCCCATGAACCTTAAATAGTAGTTTCCAATTTCTTTCCATTATCCCTCTATATTGTGAATCGGTATGATTGCACACT